TTATGGCAAACACTGAACTCATTTGGGTTGAGCGCGCGGATTAAGGTCTCTTTATAGGGACTCTAGTGCTTGTGTCAGGATCAACGGGGTCTACTCGGACTAGTTTGGCATTCATAAAGGTGTCAGACAGGGATGTGTGGCTTCCCCGTGGCTGTTTAACCTATTTATGGACAGATGTTTGCAAACTTTGGTATTTGAAGAATGTGGGTTGAGAATGGGTGAGTCAACCGTCAAATGCCTTTTGTACGCCGATGATCAAGTCATATTTGCATCGTCGGCGACCGAGTTGCAAATGATGGTTACTTTAATGAATTGGTCATTGAAAGAAAGGGGTATTAAAGTGAACGCAAATAAGACGAAAGTGATGGTTTTTGAAAGAGATGAAAGTAAAACTTTATGTGAAATAAGAATAGAAGGGGAGTTGATTGAGCAAGTGGATGAGTTTTTATATTTGGGATGTTTACTTAGCAGGGACCATGGGATGTCCTCAAGGCTCCGTGCTGGGCCCTACACTGTGCAACGTATTGATGGACGAACTACTCTGACCCCTCTGCCTGAGTGAGTAGCAATGACTGCCTATGCTGACGATGTCACGATTCTCATTGAATCACAAACCAGAGCGGGCATCGAATCCAGGGCTCGAGTTACTCTGGACCTTGTACGGGGGTGGGGGCTAAGGAATCGACTGGAGTTCTCCTCATCAAAGTCGACCACAATGACTGTTAGAGGGAAAATTCAGCGCCCCCCCGTTATTAAACTTGGTGGAGAATCCATCAAGAATGTGACCAATGCTAAGGTACTAGGCGTGGTTTTGGATTCGGCACTATTGTTTGTGCAACACGCGTCCGATATTTCTGAAAAAGCGACCAAGGGATTCGGTAAAATGACTCGCGTATCGACATCATCATGGGGTGTCCGATACCCGAGCCTAAAAATAATCTATAGTGGAGTGTATGTATCCACGCTTACGTACGCGGCAGAGTGCTGGTACGAGCGTGCGAACATGTACGCAGTTCGCAGTGCACTACTCAGCTCGCAGCGAACCGCCCTTATATTGTTAACCAAGGCGTACCGATAAACTAGCACGGCGGTCTTGCCGGTGCTGGCTGGTGTTCTTCCTGCTGACCTGGAGATCATCTGTGCTGGTAGGATGGGTATGGCACGTATGATATGATAAGGATATAGAACGACGAGTGAACGCAGGAAATAGAGTGAATGGGCCTCTACACACTATTATGAGGAGTCAGAATGTGTCAAATAAGGCACGTATGGCAATGCATGATGCTGTGTTAGTCTCTACTTTAATGTATGGTAGTGAAAGTTGGGTCTGGCAGAAGAAGCATGAGAGTAGAATAAATGCTGTAGAAATGTGGTCCTTAAGGAGTATGCTATGGCTGAATCTGAATGACAGGGTGAGAAATAGTGTGATAAGAGAAAAGTGTGGTTTGCAAGATGACGTTGTGACAAGTATTAAGAAAGGAATGCTTCGGTGGTTTGGTCATGTAGAAAGAATGAACGAGGAAAGAGTGAGAAAGCGAATGTATGTTGCAGAAGTGAACGGCAGGGTCGGAAAGGGACGCCCTAGACGAAGGTTTATCGACCAAATCGGCGATACATTAAAAATGGGCCAGATTAGAAGTACCCTTAACCGACGAGCGTGTATGCGTAGATATATGGATGTAAAAGAGGCGAGAGAGGTGTGTCAGGATCGCGCCAAATGGAAGTCCGTAGTTTCTGCTGCCCCTCTGGGTGACAGGCGTGAGTGTTTATGTATTATGGTATGTATGTATTGCTAAATGTAGCTTTTGCGTTTAGCGTCAGTTATTGAATTTAGTCGTTGTTTGTACTCGTAAGTTAATTAATATATGGAAATCTTTTTGGTCCATGTTTTATTCATTTTTGTTACACAGAAATTTGTAACATGTATTATTCCATTAAATAAAAAGAAATGTATTTTTATTTGTATTTATACGGAGCCAAGTTAGCTCGAGAAATAAAGGTTCTCGTGTGGCAACCTCGTACCGATAAGCGAAGAGCGGCATCTCACTAGACGGAGTGACGTAATGGTAAGAGATGTAGGAAGTCGATAAATGTAGGACCATGCTTTTTGGCATCCCTTGAGAGAGGTCTATGTTCAGCAGTGGACCTTTGTTGGAACATAATATTCATAATGATGATGATGATGAAGAGAACTTGGCACTTGCCTTAAAATTTTATAGGACGTAAATAAACGGAATTTATAATCCGTTATACCGCGTGCTCGGCGCACGTTCCTTTTTTTATGAAATTTAAAAAAAATATTGTGACTACAAACGCAAAAGCAATGGGTTAATACGCAGCATTATGAACTCTTCCTTGCTTTTTAAGCCTTCGGACGCCTGTGTCCGTGAATTAGATAGTTTTTTATAGGATAAGAGTGACAAATGAGCACACGGTCCACCTGATGGTAAGTGGTTGCTGTGACCCATAGACATTTATATCTATCCTCGATTACGAATCAAAATGCAGATGCATTGTCACCCGTGAGGACTTAGATGAAATGCTTCGTTTCCAATTAAAAGTGTCTCCGATTCTCTATACTCTCCATACGAAACATAGCAGCGTTAAGCTGCTATTTACGCTCCATTCGTGCTACAACTATATGAGTAATATAGACAGCATGGCTCTATCACGCACAAAATGTATTGACTGTTACTTCATTAATTTAGGTATTTCATTTTTTTTCGTACAATATTGTAAGTAAAAATGTTTTAAAGACTAAAAACCCTAAAGTCGTCACAAGACTATGAAAATACAAACTCCGCTAAGGCTTTAGCATTCAAAACGAGCGATTCAGCGATCATGAATACTGATTAGGACGCTATACAGAGTTAACCCCAGATGATAGAGTGCATGCATTGTTGATAGGTTTCTTCAGGCATTAACATCTCTTTAGTAGAACTTGAAGATTTTTGACTTTTTAGATTTCTTTGAAAAAGTAGAAATGTTCTTATTTTTCAAAGAAATCTAACACGTCAAAACTTCGTTAAATATAACACAGTCTAATAAATTGTTATAAAATTTACTATTGACTTGCTACGAGTATGTTCTACGGATTGTGCGGGAGATATTATCAGTTTTAATTTTCTGTTATTTTCAAACATTTTCATTATAGATTAACTGAGACAAATGAGCATACACAATCCACTTGTGCCCATCAATTGAATTGTCCACTTGTGCCATGGCTTGTGTGCATAAATAGGATGGTTTCTTTTGTAGGATAAAAGTGACAAAGAAGCACACAGTCCACCTGATGGTAAGTGGATGCTGTGGTCCATAGACATCTACATCCATTCTCGATTAAGAATTAAAACGCAGATGCGTTGTCAGCACGATGATTGACACCTGAAGATTAACATGGAATGCCTCGTGTCTAATAAAAATAGTCTCTGGCTCTCTAAACTCACCATACGAACCACAGCGGCAATAAGCTGTTATTTCACGCAAAAATTCTGTCCGAGTCTAGTCGTTGCCCGGTCGAGTGTCCCAGTCGATCCATTCGTAAACATAATATAGACGCAGTATGGCTCTTTCACGTATAACTTACCAAACTTTAAGGATATTTCTTTAATTAACTGATACCAGAGCGTGGCTTAGGAACTTAACACTCGCTGTAATTCGTAATTCAAAATATGCAGTCAAGAACTCTGGTTGAGTTCGATTCCTGTCGGCGTCATTAAAATCTCCAGGCGCTCGTCGGTGAAGTTAAACATCGTGTGCAAATCTGCATTTTTTTTTTATTAACTGGGGGCAAACGACCATTTGGCTCACCTGATTTTAAGTGACTGCCGCCGCCCCCACCCATGAACAACTGAGAAATTTATTTTATATTTATTTAACAGTGGTAGAGCCACGCGGCAGCTTTTGCTGTCGCACGGATGGGCAGGCTCGAACCGGGATGGTACCACGACCTCACAGAAAACCAGCGTGAAGTAGAGGTTTACCTCTGCGTTTCGCTTGGTGAGTGCAGGTGGCCGGAGGCCCTTTTTACTAGAAATGAGGCATTCCATCTTAGTCCTCACGGGTGACAACGCATCTACATTTTGATTTGTAATAGAGGATAGATGTAGATGTCTATGAGCCGCAGCAACCACTTACCATCAGGTGGACTGTGTGCCCGTTTGTCACCCTTATCCTATAAAAAAAAATTAAAAAAAATTCGAAGACGTAAACTGGGCCAACTCGCATTGGGATAACGCAGCGGATATTTTATTGCCCTAAACCCTTACAGAAAATAAGAAGAGGCCTGTGGCCAGCAGTGGGACGTACTGGTTATATGACGATAGGCTTATGCTATAACTAATGAAGTTAAAACGAATAATTTCGCAACAAGTGTGTGTAGTGCATTATGGAATTTAATAGCTCAAATAATATTGTTCCATAACAGTGCAGTTCACACGCGGTAGAAGTGAAACCTTCAGAAACTAAACTTCATGCAGTATTAGCAGTATTATGTTACATTACATATCACATATACTCTAAGTTTTCAATTTTATCATCGTAAGAACTTTAAATTTTATCTAGTCAACAAATTTCATCTTTAATCCTTACTGCTCGTAGATTACACGCATAATCTCCATACATACATAATAGGAAATACTGTATACTGTATTCTATCTCATTTTCCCGCAGTCTAGATCCTTAGCAATGAGTTGTTGCGCTGAGGGCTGCGGGTTCGGATCCCCCACGGAACAAGTATTTGTATAGCCTACAAATATTTGTTCCGGGTCTGGATGTTTGTCCTCGTGCAATTTATGTTTGTAAACTGCCTCCACGACACAGTAGAAAATCCTAGTGTGGGGGTAACGTTTTTTTAAACAATAATCTAAGTAATATAAATACATGAACATTGTATTTAAAAGAAAAAACAACAAAAAATATTATTTTATATTTATTAACAAAAAAATTCGTGCTTTTTTATTTACATGTCGAGAAGAATAAACCTTACAGCACAAGCAAAGTTATGTTTTGTCGTTTTCTAAGGCTTCTGATGGTGATACAGGCTTAGAGCCAAAGGGATACAAATCAATGCTTTGGACATGAGCTCTGACAGATACACCTGGCGGTATGCCGAAGTAATTCTCACCTATGTTCTTAATTATTGTAGTGCCTGGTTTTGTATGATGTATATTGTATCCTACACCAAGTTCAGGTGTGTTATTGTTGTCTTTCTCAGCATCAAATTCTACTGCGTGATCGTCTTTATTGTTGGTGTCCTGTGAAGGTCTAAGAGGCACATAAGGTTTCTTCGCCGGCCTTAATGGCTTGCTTGTAGGACGCCATGGTTTGCCTGCAAGTTTTAATAATTACTCAATTCTTTGTGCTGTGCTTTCACGATGTGCTAGTGCTGTAAGGTGTTGGTGTAATAAAAACCAATTTGTTTGTGAATATGTTTTATTGCAGTCAAGCAGACATTCAAGAAGAAAAAGGTTTCCATAAGTGCGTTCTCCAACCTTTTGTGCAATTGGGATTGAAACTCGTGATCTTGTTTAAATGTTTTGTCATGAAATTAATGCCATGTTTAATTTATCAATTATTAGTAACTTGGTAATTTAGGCGTTCTTTCCATGGATAAAAATTACATTGCACCTTCACATTCTTCGTTATTACTAGATTTTTTCCACTAGTTGATTTAAGAATTTGAAGAAAATCAATAAATACCTTAACAATAATAATTGAGCCTCATATAGAAATAACAAGATCACCAACATCAATCAGATGACATCAGCAGTGCTATACATCATCACCTGGTCCTTTAGTAGGCTGGGACCCTCCGTAACTTGATGCGTCCTCATCAACGACACTCGCGTCTTCATTTGCTGATTCCTTGTTGAAATTATCACCTGGTCCATCGTCAGAGTTACTACTAGGTACAGAGTTGATATCAAGCGTGTTGCTAGGCCTGTCTTTATCAGCGGTGGAAAAAGGTGGCGGTTTTACATGCCCTGATGCTGCTGAACCATCTGGACCTGTAATGACAAATAATTTATTATAAGTTTTTCTTACACCAAAATGTTAACTTATCATGTATATGGCACAAAATGTTTAAAATATATATCCATCCCATATGACCCCGTGGTTGACACCAGGCGCCAGAGGGAAACTGAAACAGGAGATCGTCAAACCAGATCCCATCATCCCATCATCATCAGCAGCATCTTCCAAATAATTACTGAAAAAAAAAACAAGTGCCGTTGCTAACCCATCTTCTAAACGTGGCAACTACGGCAAATATTCCCTTTATGAGGCAATATATGGGGAAGTCTATGCTCAGCAGTAGAGTTTAATAGGCTGTATTAAACGAATGAATGATTTAAACATCTAGAAAATAGCACTTACCTTTAAATACATCATCGCTAGTATCATGTGGAGTGTAGCTAGATACACTCGGTCCAATGGCGCCGTTTACAAAATCAGGATCATAGGCACTCGGTATGGTTGGGAAGAAAGAAGGAATGAAAGGATCATTATTATTTTTGACAATGCGGTAACCAATTCCGGGGCCAGCTATATAGTGCACCGTTCTGAAAAAAAAATTTAGATTTTAATACAAAAATCGTGACACACTAGCGCACAGTTTCATAATTTATTGATAAGTGGATGCTGTGACACGATTAAGAATCATAATGCAGGTATGTTTTCAGTTCTGGATTAAGATAGGATCTAGGTACCCATTCTTAATCCAGAAATCTTAATCTTAATCCTATTAACAGTAAAAAAGTTTTTCGATTCTCGTCATTCACCATACACAACATAGTATTATGCTACTATTTTTGCTGGTAATCTTTGAGACTATTATTTTATACCATCAAGGTCAACCATTCGTGCTGAATCAGCCATAATACAACTACATCGTAGCTCCACTATACAGATTGACTTTTGTCACAATTACGAAAACTTGTGTCATGTCAATACATAATTTCCTATAAGAACTAAGCTGATGTGGCAATGGGCCGGCATTGTAGCCCGAAGAACAGATAACCAATCAGAAAGAAGGGTTATCGAGTGACAGCATCGTACTAAGCAAAGTGTAGAGCTGTCTCCCTACTAGATAGAGTGATGACACATACTAGATGGAGTGATGACCTGGTCGCACATACAGGCCGTCGATGAATACTATTGACCCTGGGCCATGTTTTGTGGTATTCTTTGGAGCAGGGTTATCATTTAGCAGTGGAGTTATGCTGCAACGATGATTACAGTTGCTGTAATAATAATGATGAGGATAAGAACTGAACTGTTCTTTGAAAATTGCTTTTGAATAAGTACTTAGTAATTTTATGCAATAACAAACGATAGCTTGGTATTTACTATATCTAGCCACTGGATTGTTTATGCCTTCATTCATATCCCTGCTGCAGCCAATATTTCAACAAAAATTATTTTTATCGAAAACCAATATTTACATTCTATAGTTACCCCAGAATTCAATTCAAATTTTTCTGTTTGGTCATACAAGTTCTGCAATGGGAGATATGATGTATATAAAACTGTCGCCTCGGTCGGAACTAAGATTTAATAAAAGTTTAACAACTTTTAAGAAAACAAGTGATAACATTAAAATTTTGTACAAATGACTTCAATATAAATTATTAAGGATAACTCAAAAACCACTGATCAGATTTTGCTTAAATGTATATGGGAATACATGAGAAGCATCAGCTTTCAAATAAAAAAGAATCATTAAAAGTCGTTCACCTAGAAAAAACTAATGAGGAAACACACATAAAAAAATAAAAAAATACAATCGAATTGAGTACCTCCTCCTTTTTGAAGTCTATAGTTAGTTAGTAGTAAGTTAATAGTAGTAGTAGCCTTTAAATATCCCAGTACTTAGTAAAAACCCCGTTTCATTTCAAAGTGGGTACTAGCGAAATCCTCATTGTCAATACAGTCCATCAAAAGTCCACTGATAAACGCCTATGCGTCCCCTGCATCTATCGACTTCCTGCATCTCTTACCAGGTCGTCACTCTATCTAATCTGGGCGAAAAGATACATGTTTTTCAAAATATGTATAATTTATCGAAAATACACGTATATTCAAAATGTCTTCCATTACCGCCAAACATGGGGTATATTTGCAGACTATTATTTTGAATGGTGCCAGCAATAATTATTACTTATATTTACGCGAACACTACAGGTGGAATAAAACTTAGTTTACGGATTTTATCGCGTTTAATTTAATTTATGATGTTTCGGGTGCTTTAGAGCAACACCATGGGTTGCTCAAAAGCACTCGAGACGTCAATAAGTAAATTAAACGCGATAAAATCCGTAAACATGGTGCCAGCAATAGTTATCGGATTCTAATCGCTTGCATATGTACCTATAACGGATACTCAACTCTCCCTAAAACAAGTAAAAAACGAGGTTTACACCGGAGTCCAACTGATAGTTAGAGGCATCTCTATCCCTTAGATTTTTGTGAAATGAAGGTATAGTTATTCTATTTTACGATTAAGGTTTCGTTTTGATTGTAGTAGTCACGTGTACCGACAAGCGCGTTTGTGTGTGTAACTGCGATTCGTCCGACTTGCGATCGTGTCTGAGCGCTCCCGTGCCCACTCACACTAACACAATGTGTTTGTGCACGGCTAACAACAACCAAAGTCAAACCCTCATCGTGATATAGAATATACTTATACTATACTAGTGTAACAGTACCAACAATTTTAGATCGCTTACCTTTGAACGCCCTTGTCGTCTAAAAATGAATAGGACCCTCTGACATTGCCTTGAGAATCACTGCTTTCTGACCTCCTTTGATCTGGTCCTGCTGATATAAATCTGGAAAAATAAAAAGTGCCCCATATTGAATAGTTTACATTGTGGAAATTACATCGCTTGAAGGTTTTCATCGTGACGTCATCATAACGGGACGACAACGTCAAACACACGTCCAACGTCAACAGCGTCAAAATCGTTTTGTATAGCGATCCTCAATCCGCGCATGGATTAAGTAAAATCGTTCTTACAATGGAAGAGCCCCATGTCCAGTATTGGACTTTTAGACAAATTATTGTGAATGCCTATCATTAATTTTAATATTTTCCTCATTAAGCGTTTAGTGGCAATGTAAAAATATCCACTGCCCCATATCGTCCCGCGGCTGTCGTTAGTGGTGACAGAAGGAAACAAACCAGGAGATGAGCAGCAACGTCTTCCTTATACCCACTATAAAGTAGAATAAAAGCTGCGGCTGCCGACACACATGTCAAGTATGGCAACTTTGACAAGTATTACGTGGTAGAGCCATGCTGCAGTTATATTAGTAGTATAGTTGTTGCACGTATGGGTCGGCTCGACCAGGGAAGTAGCACACTCTCACAGAATACCAGCGTAAAATAGCAGCTTAACGCTGCTGTGTTAACGCTGTCGTATGGTGAGCGAAGAGAACCGGAGACCCTTTTTACTGGAAACTAGGCATTCTATCTTAGTCCTCACGGTTGACAACGCATCTGCGTTTTCATTCGTAATCGAGGATAGATGTAAATGTCTATGGGCTACAGCAACCACTTACCATTGGGTGGACTGTGTGCGCGATTGTCACCCTTATCTTGTAAAAAAATTACTCCTATGAAGCTATCTATGAGGGAGGTCTATTTTCAGCAGTGGACTTTTCACAGGCTGTAACGGTAATGCTAATCTTTATATATAAAAATTACGTGTCACATTGTTTGTCCGCGATGTAGTCCTAAACTACTGAACTGATTTCAATGAATTTTTCAAACTGTGTGCAGTTTGGTCCAACTTGAGAGATAGGATAGTTTTTATCGCGATAAGTGACCCTCAATTTTTTTATTGCGAATTTAAGGATTTTTCATACGAAGGGTCGTCGGAAAGGACAGAACAACGTCTGCCTGGCGAGCTAGATTTAATATAAACAGAGTTCTCAAATAAGATACGTAATTACAGCAATGTTATCTTTAATTTAACTTTGATATTCTAAATTTAAAATGCATTCCAAACCAATGTATCACCTGTAAGATCCATCTAAGCCTCTTTGGACAGCGGTACGACCTCTAGGTCGGCTCTCTCCTCGCACAAGAGGTGCCCTGTGGAACGGTGATCCAATCACGCTCGGACTATCGGGGTGCGAAGAAGATACATGGAATCCAGTGTCTCGTCCCGCAACGTACGAAACATCATGCCGCTCACCCACGTCGTCCACAAAGGAGTAGTGACCTTAATATAAAAAGCAACAAAGTCTTAATGTTTTTTTTTATTCATAAATAGTTCTCCTTGTTTAACTTCCGACTATCGGTCATTAAGAATGTGCTACCAAATTTTAGAGATATGTTCCAATCTTACTAAGTTATAATAGAATATTTTTTATTAAATATCCGATCCGCCCCGGCTTCGCACGAGTGATTTCTGGATCTCGACAACAGCGCCACCTACCAGGTTCAATATGAACCATCCAGGGAGCAAATCAAAACAATTTCTTCAGAATCGGTCCGGCCATCTTCGAGTTTTTGCGAGACTAACGGACAGCAATTCATTTCTATATATACAGATAGATTACAAGTAATTTTATTTAAAGTAATTTTTACTTTTACTACTAGTTCGGAAAAAAGACTATCTCAATTCGACTATATTTTTTTGTACTAACTACTTAACAAAACTTATTTAAATAATACTTAGTGGCAACCACCTGATTCCCAGGCATCAACCATATATTCATTAATATCATAATAACTCTTTTTATACAGTTTTATAAAATATTTAAGTGCAATCTCATTCTTACAGATATAAATTTAAGGCTCCCTTTCTGGCTGAATTGAGGTTTTTTTTAAATTATAAGCCAGTACTTGACTGCTGGCCTACCTGATGGTAAGTGGTGATGCAGTCAAAGATGGTAAAGTGCAATGTCTTATCATGAAAAAAATCCCACTTTTGCCTGGAACACACGCACATTGTAGTCGAGTGGAAAGATATATGCTGGTAAATTATTTCACTTATTTGCTGTCCAAGTTTCAAACGACAAAGCAAACTAAAGGTAGAACTTCCCTAGAGCCTAGATATTTTGTTGAATTCTTGTTTGAAGAGTACGTAGAATCAGTTTATAAACAGTGAGACATTTCATCTTAGTTGTACGTACGAATATGGAATCTTTTATTCAAGAATGCAGCAAGCCTATAAGCTAGTATGTCACTATATATTAAAAATAAAGTTTCCTTAAACCAGTAAAGGTGAAACGAATTTTTTAATGAATATAATAATTTATACATCTATACAGGTTATTTTGCAATAACCGGCCAAATTTGCAGAGGAGGTTCAAAATAAGTAATGTAAGCAAATGGTGAAGAAACATTAATTAAAAAAAATGTCAAACATTCTGTCCTTTTTATCTTTTAAACTCAAAATGCGCGGTAATGCATTATTTTAACTCATTTCACGGCGCAGGCACACATTCGTAAGGGTGGATCGGTAGGCAAAAAGGTTGTTGCGCATAAATCACAACATTCAATTTGGGATAATTTCAAATAAAAATCCTTATTTACTCGTACTTTCATAAATTGCAATAACGGTATATTATTCATTATTTATATATTTGAACTTAAGTTTAAAATGAAAAAAAAAGAAAACTGAAAAATAAACCGGTATCTAATGAATAAAATTGAAATGTATGTCTGCAATTTTAAAATAACGGGCTTTTATTAAGTTCAGTGGGTTACTTGCACCTTATTAAGACAAATTAACATGTATAAACTTTTTGTCTTTTTGTCTGTCTATCTTTCCGAACTCAGGAATCTTTAAGAATAGATAGAGAGCATTACCAGGTTAATCATTGTCCTATATATCAAAGTAAAAAATTAAAAAACTGATCTCAAAATTTAAAAATATAATAATTATTTGTGAGAACACAAATAAATCGCCGGAATGTTACTTTTAAAATTTCGTACCCTCTTTTTCAATCATTAGGGTTGGAATTTTTTCTTCAAGTTTAAATGAACCTTTGAGGTAAAGCTCATTCAATAAAAGGAATCATTCAAATTGGTTCACAATTATAATCATACCTAGAACTAGCATGGTAGTTCTTTCTAGAACAGAGGTTTATCCCGAACCATTGGTAAATGCATAAACGACTTTTAAGAAGTATTCTTGTGATCTTTTAATTAAATTTTTCTATTCTATTCTATTTATTTACGGACAAAATTGAATCAAATTGAGAACTTTCTATTTTTTTTTTTGGGTCGGCCATAAATTAACTGACTACTACTTTGTTGTTGTGAAATTGCTAAAATACACATTTTTTTACTTTTATAATGTTTTGTTACTCTGTAGAGCCGCCACAGAGTAACAAAACATTATAAAAGTAAAAAACGTGTATCATCGCACCACAATAGCGCAAACAAACCGTAACGGCACGCTTAGATTATCAAACAACTCGCCGAATAACTCGCTGAGTTATTCGTGAACAAGTACGACGTGTTTACATATTCGTGTTTATCTTTTATTTTATTTTTAAAATGTTACCTCCACACTAGGATTTTCTCCTGTATCGCGTGGGCAGTTTACATACATATATTTTACAAGGACAAACATCCAGACCCAGAACAATTATTTGCAGGCCATACAAATACTTGTTCCGTGCGGGATTTGAACCCGCGGCCTTTAGCGCTGCAACTCAGCTAAGCCACTGCGCCACGGAGCCGTCAAATTCGTCTGTTTTATTCAACGAAGATTTTTAAAACATGAATAACGTGCGTCTTGTTGCTACGCCATTGTGTCTATTTAACTTTTATGGACTCACTAATGAAAAAGATGAAAAGACAGCAGTAGTAGAAATAGTATTAAGTAGAATATGTAAAAGTACTCGCTCTTGTCAAATTTTTAATTTCTGTGAACCGAGTACATAGTTTTGTTTTATTTATATATTCAGTCAAAGAAAGGTATTATAACGGTATATGAGTAAATTAAAATGATAGTACACGGGTCAACTGAATAATGACGAGTATGTAAACACCGATACGAATAAACACGAAAATTCCTTTGACTCGTGCTAAAAAACCGGCAACGTGTGTAGAATAGGCGAATACTCGGGCCGAGTAGCGAACACACCCGAACAAGTCGTTTACATTTTCGTACTATTAGAATTATGGAATGTTTAGAGTATCGAAACGTTCCATAACACAAACAAAGCCTAAATCGCGCTATCAAAGTTACCAAAGCACTCTGCATATAGAATAAACTTTGTAAATGACCATGAAGCGTTAGCTGCTTCTCCAGCATCTTGGTCGGGGAGAGCTCTGCTCTTTTTTTACTACAGTCAAATCTCTAAGTCAAGAAACTTAAATAACATGGCTTAGCACTGGGTCAAGAATCTCATATACCTTGACATAAACCACATTTTAAATTAAATAGCAGCAAACAGCCTAGACAAACTTTGATTTTTAAGAATTCAGGAAGATTATCGTTTAAATATTTTCTAACAACCTTTAAAAACAAGCAACAATTTTCTCTTATAACTTAAGCGTCTTGTGAATAATAAAATTAAAATACCTTGAATATATTCCCTACAAAACAACAACCCTCCTTACAATTTACATAATGGGAAAACCCTTTAACGAACCTTTAACATCGCCCCTACTATCAGCGTTCTCGTTTTTAGAATACGTTCTCGTATCAAATTTATAAGAATAACTTGGATCCTCGTTTGGGTCGAAATAGGGATCGTCTTTATTCCCAATGGGTCCACGAGGTCGTTGATCTAGGTCCATTTTTCTGTGCACATTAGGACCTTTTGCGCGAAACCTGGAAAATATTTGTAGTTGTTGATTCTTATATTAAATATAATGTTGTGTTAAATTGTTTTCTTGACAACCTTGTAGTGATGGTGTAAGAACATCTGTTAACGCGTATCGTATAGGCGACAGAAAAATCCTTCTGATATCCGCTGTATGAAAATAACAAACTGCGGTTTCTAACCCACATGTCAAACGTGGCAAATATGGCTAAATTCCCGTTATGAGGTAAATATACGAGAGCGGCCTATATACACCAGTGGACTTTTATAGATTGTGTTGGATGGTAACAACTCTTGTGATTAAGGGAGAGTAAGTATATGGATTGACGACCTGGTAAGACATGCGGGAAGTCGATGGATACCGATGATTCAGGAACGTGCTTTGTGGAATTCCTTGAGGTCTATGTTCAGCAGTGGACTTGTGAAAGGCTGTAATGGTGATAATGTATAGATCAAGTAAGAGATCCATCTCCCCATAACATTATCATCCCCTAGGTGTCACCAGAGGCGACTATGTGAAATGCCAGAAATATTTGTAGAAATAACTCTTACTCGACACTTACAATTCCCCTGACTGCTGATACATTGTAACATACAATATTTAATCACATATAATTTTGAATAAAATTGTAACATAGTATTTAAAAATAAATAATTACCGTGTAGTGGCAGTGTCAGATTGTCCACTGCCACATATAGTCCCGTCGGTGTCGTAAGAGGCGACAGAGGGAAACAAATCAAGAGATGGACAGCAGCGTCTTTCTAATAACGACTAAAAAATGCGGTTGCCAAACCGCTTGCAAAGCGTGGTAAATATGGAAAATCACCCCCCCCCCCCTTATAAGGAAATCTATGATGGAGGCCTTGTTTCAGCAGTAGACTTTTGATTGGTTGTTATAGTAATGGTAAAATATTCAGACTGGCGACAGACAGCAGCGACAAAGGTGCGAGACGTCTGGTCCTTCGATCGACAATCTGTCTGCCTAAAGTGACAATTCAGGCAAGTCTTCCCAACAACGGGAGAGGCCCACATCCATCTGTGGGCTTTATTTTTGAAAAAATAACCATAGCTGCCATGCTTCACATGCGTGTTAGCAACCGCAGGTTTTTTCATTCGGCTGTTATCAAGAGGATGCTGCTGCCTAACTCCTGGTTCAGATTCCCTCCGTCGTCTCTAACGACTCTCGCGCGATATGGGTTAATTAATATTCTTACAAAGCCATTACATAGAGTATTTTACGTTTAGTATAAATGGGATGGTTATACGCCGCCATCTCTTGGACTCCAATATTTGACGTGTTCGACGACCACGGGATGAAATAGAGTGATGGACTCTTACGGAGAGCAGAATATCGGATAAAATCCCTAAAAAATGCATATAACATTATATACAATAGTGTATAATTTTGGTGATTTTTAAAATTTCTGAATTTATTTAAATTCTGAACTTGAAGCGGACAAAGTGCTAGCCCAACTTGTTTTCATATTATTTTTTTTATTAATGTCTACATACCGCACGCTACAAGCTATTTTTGTACTACTTGTTTCTTTTCAAAGATTCCGCTGTGATATGAGAAACCTTATTACGTAATAATGTAAAACGTATGAAAATGCCTATAGTGGTGATTTCGTTCACCGCCGAGCACGTTGTAAAATAGCACTTAAAGTTTACTATTTCATTAGTGCTGGTGGGGATCGAGTCCGAGTTGGTCACGTTCTATGAAATGTTTTTATACGTGGTAGAGCCACACTGCAGCAATATTTTGGTTGTAGCATAGGGGGTCATCAATGCTACTGTGTTTAGTATGAGACAACCGCAGACCACTTTTACTGGAAACGAGGCATTCTATCTTAGTCCGCAAAGATAACAATCCACCTTCATTCTTGAGGGTAAATTTAGATTTTTTTCTATGGGCCACAGCATCCACTTATCATCAAGTGGATTGTGTGCACGTTTATTACGCTCATTGTATTAAAATTATTGCGCGCGGCGGTACGCTTAGCTTCTTAACTACCAAGACAAATGGATCCGTGGCGCAACGGCTTAGCAATAAGTTGCAGCGCCAAGGGCGGCGGGTTCGAATCCCGCACGGAACAAATATCAGTATGACCTACAAATAATTGTTCCTAGTCTGGATGATTGTCCTGCGTATGTTAACTGCTCCCACAATACAAGAGAAAATCTTAGTGTGGAGGTAACCTTAAACTCATTTTTTTTTATTATTCATCTAATTTTTACACTTTATAGTGTTAACCTATATTAAACAGAATTTACAAAGGGTAAACTTAATTCCTTTAAACTAAATTGAACTCTAGTGTAGTGAGATAATGTTATAGATGCATTTGAAGAAAATAAAAGTTCTCGTTAAAACAATCACAAGTAGCATGAGATGACAATTCTACTTACCCTCTAGGTCCAGCAGTGTAAACGGTCTCCTTTATAGTGTCAGTGGCAGGGTCCCTTGAACCGAAACGACCGCCTACCACCCCGTTCTGGTTACCCCTTGCAAGGTGGTAACTGCCCCCTCGGTCATTATTTTTGTACCTGTATGGAGATAAATATTTTTATATAAATTATCAACAATAATATATAAATTATCAAAATATTCAATAAATGTAATGTGGTATTTATAAAATATAGTTGTGACAGTAGCCTAATGATTAAAGGTTTGGACTGCAAACTGGGAAAGTTATGGGTTCTGATCCTCCATTAAAGTTCTGTACTGAATAACTCTTAACACAAGTATTTTAAACTTATTTAGAAGCGTTTTCCTTTATTATCGTTTTCATCATCATCATTATCAACATCATTAAAGTCATTCAATAATTCACTGCTGTATATAGGCCTCTACATAGATTGGCTCATAGAATGTATATTCGCCATAGCTGCAGGCTACCCGCCTGCTGCTATGGCAATCAACCGTAGTTTTTTTATTTTCTAAGTATTATTAGGAAGAAGCTGCTACCCAGGTTTTTCCTCCGCTGCCTCTTACGTCATTCCCGGAACGATATAGGATATTCTTACCCGCCATCACAAAGACAATATTTTTTTTATGAAAACGTTAGTTTCAATATTTTATGTAATACGTAATTTTACTTAGATATGTAGTTTTAGTGTCAACAAATTAATTAATTAATTATTACTTGTATCCGTGGTCACGGAGTAATATAATACATCACTACATACAGTCGGGGTGTCGTAAGATGTGACTATATGAAAAGATATTTATAGAACTTCTCTAGAGATGAATATGGCCATCTCGTATATGCCAATGCCTGGACCTGCGACAGGGAGCAAAAAGCTTGGAGACGTTTCTAAATGTGATCCCTAAGCCGCCTGCCGAGGATGCTGATTGTAGGAAAACCCCCTCTACTATCGAGAGAGTATTATAGTACTCTCTCGATAGTAGAGGGGGAGTAGCCTTTATAGAGGCTACTAATGAAAAAATTCATTTAATATACATGAAACAAACACAACATTTTATGATATCTAATCTAAACCAAGAAATCTCATACCACAGAAATACTCGTAAGTATTTGTCAACATAACTTTGGAAAAAAAAAGACTTTAAGTTAGAAATATTATTAAATTAGAGCATAAATCAACTAAATTCATGTTATTATTAATGGCCGTAGTTAATAAGAGCCCTGATAGCTCGGGGGTTTCGGCGTGCAACGTAAATTTCTCAGTGCGCGAACGAAACTGGTTTGATCCCTGCCGGCAGCAATTAAAAGTTTAATTGCAATTTTATTTACTTATATTTAAGAAATGATTTACTGATTTTGCTTGGCGGCGAAGGTAAACATCGTGGAAACCTGCATATCTGAGAAACTAAAAAAATTCCAAGACAAGTTTGCCAACATAAATCGGGACAGCGCGGCGGACATTTTATTGCCCCAAAACCGTCTCATAAGTGAGAGGAGGCCTGTGCCCAGTAATAGGACTTATATGGACTGTATCTTATTAATAACATTCTATACTATTCCAATTTGAAGTATGTTGTGGAGATTGGAATGGCCATGAAATAATATGTACGGAACAATGTGTAAAATATTAAATTAAGTCATCGTAAAAGTCTGTGAGTGACAGACAAGAAATACAGCAGCATTAAGCTGCTTTTTTATGATGGTATTGTGTGAGAGCGCGGTCCTTCCCCAGGTAAATATTATAGCTGCAGCGTGGCTCTACCACGTTTAAATAAAAAGTTTTTTTGTTAATCTCTTTGTACCGAAAGACACAAAACTTATGCAAGTTTAAATTTTAAAAAAATAATACAGATATGTACTACAATTAAAATAATAATTTTAGTGTGTTATAAAAAATATTTTTATATTATGTAAAACTGTGTGTTAATAATATTTCACATTAATCAGGTGTATATATTAAGTAAGTAATAATGGCCCTTATTTTATTAAATATAAACAAAACACTCGCCCAAAATCAAAAGATCCGTCTGTATTCACGTTGTTATAATCTCCATCGTTAGTTCTAGACTTGCTGGGTATCACCTGAGTCCTGACCAAACTACACAAACACACAAAATACACACAAAAGGCAGTCACAGACATTATGCACTTCTGTTACTTCAATATATTTTCATTTCACTTTGCTCTGTAAAGGAGGCTTTATAACACTATGAAGTTAAAAAACAAAGGCCCGTTTATATACCGCGCCAGAAATGAGCGACCAACGAAGTTATACCGCGTGAAAACGACCGGACGTCATTGTTATTAATGTTAAGTTAGCGTCACAGTGCACGATGAGATATGCTAAGCTAGATATAATATACGAGTAGTTTGCTTACGCTTTAGTGGTAATTTTTTTTGACACATTTATATTGAAGAAACTTTACAAATACACTTCAAATAATATAAATATTTTGAAATCACTGGCCAAATTTGGAGAGAAGGTTCAGAATAAGTAATAATGATAATAAAATCTTAAAGTGTACAAAAAATTATCACAAACTTATCTAGAAACATACTTAAATAAAAACATACATAAAAACAATGAGACAAACTGGCCTGTGACTCAGCTATGCGGTGATTTGAGGTTACAATCAATTTGTGATAGACTGGTGTCTATCTGGAGAGTGGTGGAGACTAGGATTCCCCGTATGAATGATCACCAGCCCCCCCTTCAGGCCAACTGTCCATAAAAGACCGTCTATGCATAAAAACTCTGGCTGTTGGACCATTCGCAATCTTCGGAAGCTGCGCGGAGACAACCGGTTCGTCCGGTCGTCATTTTCGAATTATGATTGAAACTTTACTTTTACACTTTTAACGGGCTTAGAATAGTCATAATAAAAAATAATACATTTTTGCTTATTAACGATGTAACCGATGACTGTCTTTATTATGGCGTATATAAAAATTGGAATAAACTATTTACAACTAATTCGCACAAGTAGACTCAATATCTAAAATTGGTACATCAAAATTGAATCCGTTTCTCTTGTGGGGATGTGAATGACGAACACACTACATATTAAATTGCCGTTTATTCACAACGTAAATTTAAAGTAACCGGAAGTAACCGAAAACCGAAAGTAACCGAAAGACCGTAAAGATCGGATCGGAGCGCAAACGAGCGACCTGACGGCCGGTCGTGGCTCTACGATAGAATAGAATAGAATAGAATAATTTTTTATTCAATATTGATTATTACATAATTCTTATTGAAAGTAATTTTTTATTTACCACTGGTTCAGAAAATACCTCAGTCCTGGGAAGAACCAGCAAGAAACCCAGCGGGACTTTTTTTTCAAACATATTTCACTTATCAATAATTTCGTTTATACAACTTTTAAATGATTTTACATAGAACCAGCATGGTGGCGATCACCTTTTTCCCAGGGGTTATTTTTATTCATGTATTCCTTGATATTATATTTACCCTTTTTGTACAGTTTTTCTTTTATAAAACTTTTAAACTTGTTTATTGACAAACTTTGAATATGTTCTGGGATTTTGTTGTAAAAGCGTATACATTGCCCCATAAATGAATTACTGATTCTGTGGAGTCTAGTAACTGGTATTACAAGCTTGTTTGTTCCTAGTGTTTAAAGTATGCACATCCTTATTCTTAATAAAGCTATTTATGTTTTTATGTACATAAATATATACATTTTCATAAATATATTGCGATGTCAAAGTTAATATGTTTATTTCTTTAAATTTTTGTCTGAGGGACTCTTTACAATTTAGGTTATAAATCGCCCGAACGGCTATCTTTTGCAAAATAAATATAGCTTCAATATCAGTCGCATTACCCCATAGCAAAATTCCGTAAGACATTATGCTATGAAAGTAACTAGAATACACTAATCTAGCTGTCTCAACATCTGTGAGACTTCTAATCTTTCTTACAGCATATGCTGCAGAACTAAGTCTGCTTGCTAATTTAGATATATGGGGGCCCCATTGAAGTTTCGCGACAATAATAATACCGAGAAAAACAGTGGTATCCACAAGACTCAAGTCATATATTATATTATAATTTGTACGTTATAACGTCTAGTACTACGACAGTCAATTCAACTGCCAAGCGTGACTATTAATGCAAGTACTCACTACAACGGAAAATAGATTCCTGGACTCGAATCAGTGGACTTAGACGGGCCAACTAATACCTACTAAATAATAAAATTATAAAACGGTACACAATATATTCTAATTTATTATGCCATTTATCGTCTTGTTCTGTGCACACACTTTATATTTACGAAGATGCGGCTGCTTGAGATACGAGGGCCTCTATATCCTATTCCGTCTCTACCAGGAACACAATATTAATGCACTACGAATTCAGTTTGCATTTTATTTTCCAAAATACAGATTAAGATCAAAATAAATATGCATGGGTAAATATGTAAGGTAATATTTAAAATATTAATAAAAATATAAACCACTTTCGACCGTTTCTGAAGTCGGGGATTTACATCGGCGCGGCGTTATTTTTTAATAGACTATATCTTAGGCATTTTTAGGGTTCCGTATCCAAAACGTAACCAACGGGACCCTATTACTAAGCCTCCGCTGTCCGCCCGTTCGTCCATCCGTCTTTTTGTTCGTCCGTTAGTCTGACAGCGGGCTGTATCTCATGTTCCGTAATAGGTAGATAGTTGAAACATTCAGAGAATATGTATTTCTGTTGCCGCTATAACAACAAATAATAAAAATTAAATTAAAAAATTAAAAGGGGGCTCCCTTACTAGAAACATGTCTCCTGTACTAGTCTCCGTACTAGTCCGAATCGCACTTGGCCGGTTATTATTTTTCCCTTATGAGTGATCTAAGAAATATCACAAGTTCTAGGTCACAACTATAATGTCGTTCATATAGTTACATTAATATTTTCATTCCCTATATTTCCAACCAGAATGATGGAATTTTTTTCTAAGTATATATTTATATGGGATCACATCTGAAGTATATCTACTTAATTTTTTTTTATAGAATAAGGGTGAAAAACGAGCACACAGTCCACCTGATAGTAAATGGCTGCTGTGGCACATAGACATCTACATCTATCTTCGCTTGCGAATTAAAATGCAGATGCATTGTCAACCGTGAGGACTAAGATAGAATGCCTCTTTTCCAGTAAAATAGGTCTCCGGTTCTCTACACTCAACATACGAAACACAGCAGCATTAAGCTGTTATTTTACGCTGGTATTCTGTGAGAGCGTGTTCCTTCCCCGGTCGAGCCGACCCATTCGTGCTACAACTATACTAATTAATATAGCTGTAACATGGCTCTACCACGTAAAAAAAAGGATAATTAAAGTCGGTTCCGCCGTTTTAGAAAAAGCGGAAAACATAAATAAAAAACATACGTGTCGATTATACAACCTCATTTTTCACAATCGATTAAAATTTCAAGGTCTTAAAATATAACTTAAATGAGACAAGAATACATCTTTTTACTATAGTAATTCCAAAAATGTTTTCTGGTTCATTTCATGGCATATCAATGGAGATTTTGGATTTTTACCGAGAGATGTAGAAGCTCAGGTTTGATCCTAGTCAGCGCTAATGAAATTGATAGTTACAATTTTAGGTACTGTGATATTAGGGAAATCATGAGAAAACCTTAACTGCCTTTACCGCTGGTTATCACCAACGTTTCAGAAAGTCTGCAGTTTATGATCATATCCTAGACGGCACCCGCAATTACATCGGATTTGATAGAATCCTCGCGAAAGAATATCGATTCCTATCAAAGATGGTACGCGAGGCTATTGAAATTAATAACATCCTAATTTCAATGGAGAAGGAAGCTGGGTATACTACAACCTGCCAGGGAACATGTAATTAATAAAATTAAAACTAAACCCCAGCATACCACTGCAAGATAAGTTCATTCGGCGTAGATCGGACCAAGATAATAATTCAAAAGCTGAAGATACTCCGGGTTAACTTTGACATCGGGACGTAATCGCCTCAGTCCCCCGTGATCATAGGTACTGTAAAGCATCCGAAACGTCGGGAATTAAAAATAAGTAAAATTAAACGCGATAAAATCCGTAAAAGTAGTTTTCAATTGTTTAATGAGGGTTATTATATAGTACTAAAGAATACATAATTGATAATAACCTCTGGGAATGAGGTGATCGCTACCATGCTGTTTCTAAATGTTATCATATTTAATTGTACAACATAATTATATTTTCACGTGGTAGAATCATGCTGCAGCTACGTTTATCACCCTTATATTATTAAAAAAAAATGAAGTAAAATAACTATATTAAAAAATAAGTGGCACTGGGATCCTTCTGGTTCTCCTAAAACATGATTTTTTTTTCCGAACCAGTGGTAAAAAAAATAACTTTTGTAGGTGGCGCTGTTGTCGAGATCCAGAAATCACTTGAGTGAAACTGGGGCGGATCGCTAGTACTAAATAAAATTATTCTATTCTAAAGTCACCTCTTAAAAGGAAGTAAGGTGAAGGATTGCTCTTGCGTCGCCACCATACGGGTAGTGTATTCTTTATTCTTTATTCTTTATTGTACACACTAAGTTGGTAACAATTATTAAATATTCAAATAAAATGTACAAAGGCGAGCTTAACCCTAGTAAGAGTTTTCTTCCAGCAAACCTATTGGGAAAGCGAAATAGATTTACATATAAAGCAAGTAGGTAGCAGCGTTCGTACTTAATATTTAACTTAACACTACTTAATAGAAATTGGCTAAAGTTACAGTTGACAATTAACATATAAGTGTATAAAATATAAGTATAATTTATTTTCTTATTTCTATTGATTTACATACATATATACTAAAAAAGATAATAAACACATACACATATACACATACACACACATACATATATATATATATATATATACACATACATACATATATACATACATGTACACATATATAAATATATATATATATATATATATATATATATATATATATATATATATATATACAATTATACATATAAATACATAACATATATAAATATTTGTAATTCTAAGTTGATAGATAATATTTCTTTACTCTGCTCCGGAAAGTATCAAGAGAAGAGCTAGCACGTATGTCATGTGGAAGTGAG